AAGGGACCAGGACGACTGATCCGTGTAAAGGAAAGAATGAATGGGGCCATGTATCGTGAGATTTTGAGTGACAACCTCCTTCCATCAGCAAAGGGCATTGAAGATGAAACGTGGCTGGGTCTTTCAGCATGACAATGATCCCAAACACACCGCCCGGGCAACGAAGGAGTGGCTTCGTAAGAAGCATTTCAAGGTCCTGGAGTGGCCTAGCCAGTCTCCAGATCTCAACCCCATAGAAAATCTTTGGAGGGAGTTGAAAGTCCGTGTTGCCCAGCGACAGCCCCAAAACATCACTGCTCTAGAGGAGATCTGCATGGAGGAATGGGCCAAAATACCAGCAACAAGTGTGTGAAAACCTTGTGAAGACTTACAGAAAACGTTTGACCTCTGTCATTGCCAACAAAGGGTATATAACAAAGTATTGAGATGAACTTTTGTTATTGACCAAATACTTATTTTCCACCATAATTTGCAAATAAATTCTTTAAAAATCAGACAATGTGATTTTCTGGATTTTTTTTTTTTCTCATTTTGTCTCTCATAGTTGAGGTATACCTGGGATGAAAATTACAGGCCTCTCTCATCCTTTTAAGTGGGAGAACTTGCACAATTGGTGGCTGACTAAATACTTTTTTGCCCCAATGTATATTTTTTTACTTTTATTGTCATTACACAGTAGGCCTACTTACTATGTAACAAAATGGTTTCTCTGCATTTGACCCATCCTAGTGTTAGGAGCAGTGGGTTGCCATTATGAACGGCGCCCGGGGAGCAGTAGGGAACGGTGCCTTGCTCAGGGACACCTCGGTAGCACTTGGTCTTGCCGGGACTTGAACTGGTGATCTTCCAGTTGCCAAGCCAAGTCCCTTTCCACTTCGCCACCACCGCCAAATTTTGTATTCTGTGTTTACATTACATGTTTTTTATTTGTCTAATACTGCCTGTGCTGCAGCACCTCTTTTCTTTTACCTGTTTTTAGAGCACATACACATAACATGTGTACTGAGTTTTGCATTAAACTACAGTCCTTTCTGAACAACTTGTAAAAGTCATCATCATATCGAGGCACTTTTAGTTGACAAACTATCTCTGTAAATACTTTGCCACTCTAAGATCTTTCCCTTGAGAGATGATGAATGTTTCCTCTCCCAAAGCAGACAATAAACCATTAATATGAGGAGAACTTCCACAAGTGACTGTTGACCTACTTTCCAGCTTTCAGAGGAAGCTTCCTGAATTTGTGGAAAGCTTACTGTAGCTGCTTCTAATGTGCTGTTGACTGAGGGCTCAGACACCTCTTCTTTTATATTCTTCTCCTCCACCTGGAACTGAAGAGTGTCTGATTTCTACGCATGATTAGGGTTTTTACATCCTAACACTGTGCCAAAATAGCATGCCATGTTACTGTTTGCGTGCCCTGTTTCCATACACAACCTAAGATATGGGTTTCATGTGTATCCAGTAGAGCTTTCAACATGGTCCAGCAGGACTTAGATGTCCATCTCTGCGTGATTGGATGATGTGGCACAGATTCACCCAGAGGAAGTGGAGGGATTTTGATGATTCATGTGAGCTGAGGCAGAGCGGCTGCATCACGACACTTTCAGTCTCACCGTCTAGATCAGATCCACTTATACTACACTTCATGTGCTCAGTCACCAAGCTGTTCTCCTTTCTCACTTCCTCAAAATATCAGGAAGTAGATAGGATTTACAGTCTGATTTGAATCCTTTTGTTAACCATATGTCTCAAACTGACACAGAGAGAGATGTATTACATTTGGACTGAGCAAAAAGTAGAGAAAAAGTTTGAGAGAATAAGTTGCGTCTCCTTCTGGTTTCTATAGCATAGCCCTCTAACTTGCCCTTTTTTGGCTGACTGATATGCTTCCCATATGATGGTATGCCATTTTCTCCCTGTCATTCCATGAGTCTTCTTTCAAGTAGATTCCCTCCTGTTAACATTCCATAAAGCACATTCCCATCTCTCTCCATCTCATTCCAGCCTAGTATACCCTATAGATTGTTGAGCCACATGTGTAAAACAAATCGCTTTTTTTGTAAACAAAACACTGACTGGCATCAGGCCCTGGGTGGGAACAGGAGAGGGGGAGGAGGGAGGGGTGTGGAAGGAGAAGACAGATGTGTTTATAGAGGCTAGAGGAGGGAGGAGAGATGATAACAAGGTCTCCGGACAGATATTGAAAACGTCTTCACACGAGCTGAGCCGCTTGCTCCATCATTACAGATGCAGGATGTGCAGCCGGTCGTAGTTCGAACCCACAGCTAATCAGCCATGCATTTTTATCATATTTTGGTTTTGTTGTGTTTAAAATAATTGGTTTTGAATGTTTTCCAAATCTTTTTTAGTCTTGACTGTGCCCCAGAGTGAATTTGCTGTGCTAATAGATGTCCTAAAGGCTTGCAATATGTTAGAACAAAGAGAGAGCTGAAGGGGAGACATGTAACTTATGTAAGAGTTACAAAGAGAACACACTGTTCCTATGGAATCTATCAATGAAAGGAGGGAGGATCACGTCATGACAAAGGGTTGGAAACTTGGCTCTGAATGATACGGACATCTTTAAAGTGTCATTTGAACCTCTGTACTAAAATATGACACATTGTAAAGAAAGAACAGTTTCTTCTAAAGTAGAGTGTTCAGACTTGAATCAGTGGTGACAAAGCAGCATCTGATGACACAGAATGACTGTATCCAATTCATTAGGTCGAGCCTGTGGAAAATTAAGAAATGAACAGGACTGATGGAAATAGTTGAACTATTCTGTTGAATTGGGATTTGTATTGTTGTCTGTCTTTGTAGAACCTGGTGTGACCACAGACAGCAGACCAGGGAAAAGTAGAAGGAGTCCACTGCAGACTCTCTACAATGGAGACCAGGTGATAACACAGACACAAACAGGCATAACGCCAGCTCTGCCACATTAAGAAGCCCCCTTTAGTTTTTCACCTGCTTAAACAAAAATACTGTGTTTTGAGTGAGTAAGTAACGTTTATTTTCTCTTGTATGTATTTACATTACATTTCATTTTGAGGACATCCAAAATTAAAGAAAAGTAATCAGGTCACATTACGTTTAAATGGTGATGGTCAGATTGGGTTAGTGATTACGTCTGTTAACATGTAAATATAGTCATTGAGACAGCATACATTCTTAAAGTAACCCCTCTTTAGCTTTGAAACCCCACTGTACACTACCTGCCAACAAGCAGCAGACATAGTTCTAGCTGGTGAACATTTAGCAGTTAAACAGCCAGATATTTCCCTGTAGAAGAGCCATGGATGGACAGATCTAAAAATCGGTCAGAAAAGCTACAATTTTTTTTAAGACAAAGGAGAAATCTGCTTGAAAAAAAAATCCCCTCAATGTGTGTTGTGATAAGTACCTTGATGTCTGCTCTTATTAGTTTCTTTGGGCGCACAACATTTCTGCAACAAATTGAAAAGGTTTTTCTATTTCTGCTTCCCCCTACTCCCTCAATTCCCCACTTGGACCCATTCCTCGCCCTGATCACATCACAAGCAGCTGGAGCTGCTGGCGGCTCAGAGGTCGCTACAAGGTCGCAGGGAGCTGCTGGAGCAGGCGTGTCTGAGCCACACCAGGAAGCGCCAAGTGCTTTCCCCCGAGGACCTCAAACACCTCATTGTGGATGATAAACACAGCCTCATCTACTGCTACGTACCCAAGGTTGGTGACAGTGAGATTAAGAAGTGCATCTGGGGGAGAGATGAAGGGGGGACGGGGGGAGAGATGTGAGGCAAAGACATGAGATGAAAGACACCGCTGCATGCAGATGTTCTAAAAACAAATGGAAGTTAATTATTGCTGTTTAGCCTCAAAAAGCTCCGACACATTTTAGAATCCATCGTAATTTTTTGGAGGGGGGATATTCATTCCCATGGTGCAACAAATGTATATTTAGCTACCAGTCTTGCCACCATTAAATTGACTGTTATTTTTGTTGTAATTTTATAGTCTTAATGATAAATGTACTGGTATTTATATTTATTGTTTCTACTTTGATTTGTGTTATAATTGTAAGTGTGATGATAATATAATGAAAACATTTATGCTAATAGCTACATTTAATTCTAAGTATGAATGTGTATTTTGGCTTGAAAGATAATCTCCCCCTCTTGTTGTCGTCCCCCAGGTAGCCTGCACCAATTGGAAGCGAGTCCTGATGGTCCTAACCAGTGACGGCCGCTACACGGACCCCCTCTCCATCCCTGCCAACGAGGCCCATGTGGCGGGGAACCTCCGCACGCTCTCCGAGTTCTCCGTCCCCGAGATCAACCGACGCCTCCGCAGCTACCTCAAGTTTATCTTTGTGCGGGACCCCTTCGAGCGCCTGGTGTCGGCGTACCGCAACAAGTTCACTCGGAGCTACAACACGGCGTTCCACCGGCGCTACGGAACCAAGATCATCCGCCGGCACCGGCCTGAACCGGATCCAGAGGAGATTGAGAAAGGAAATAACGTTTTATTCCACGAGTTTGTCCAGTACCTCGTGGACCCCCGGACCCAGCGGGAGGAACCCTTTAACGAGCACTGGGAGCGGGTGCACTCGCTCTGCCACCCCTGCCTCATCCACTACGACGTGGTGGGGAAGTACGAGACCCTGGAGCCTGACGCCCAGGCCGTGCTCAGCCTGGCCGGGGTGGAGGGAACGCTTCAGTTTCCCACGTCTGGGAAAAGCACCAGGACTGATGGCAACATGGCCGCACGCTACTTCAAGCACATCAGCCCTTTCTACCAGAAGAAACTGTTCAACCTGTATCGCATGGACTTCCTGCTCTTCAACTACTCCACACCAGAGTACCTCAGGATTTGATGAGGGGGGGGGATGAGAGCGTTGACATCAGTCTGATGGTTTTCCCTTCAGAGTTTCAGTTTGTGATGATCATGTTGCACGTTTCGGTTGCCATCTCTGCCCAGAGTAGTCCATCACACGCTCTGGCTTGTCACTAAGACCCTCGGAAAGAAACAGCTGTGGAGAAAGACTCTGGTTTGGAACCAAAAGCAAATGGAACCAAAAGACAGTTTGCCAAGCATCTGTAACACTTGTCATTTTGCTTTCTAGTGTGAAAGAGTGTATTGTTCTGACGTTAAGCAGAACAAAGGGCAGACTGGATCTTCCCAAAATGTGTTAGAACTATTCCAGGTGACACAAACAAGTCCTTTCTGATGGGGAGGGGGGGGGCTTTAGGTTAATTTAGAACCCAATATTTATTTTGTATTCAGTTCCTTGTGTTTCTCGCCTAGAAATTGCTTCATCAAATTGAACAAACTTTTATTTGACTTGTATCTTTGTCTTCCTTCACCTGTGGATGTGAGATTTGAGAATTCTGCCCCACCAGCACGCCCGGTGCCCACTACAGTGAAATATATCCCGTGGCTTATTCTTCTGAGAACCAATGAGCCATAAATCAAAGTGACACTGTGGGAGGAGCAGGTTCTCCTCTGGTCGGGTGAATGTGCTGACTGTGAACCTGAATACAGCAGATTCATTCAAAGCAGTAGAATATCTCTGGATGCCTTTTATTTATGTATGTTGGTGCATACAAGTATTTATTATGTGTGTCAGTAAGGGCCTGTGATAAATTTATTTGATATGAAAGAAGGGATTCCTTTCTGCATGGAAAGTTACTTGCTGTTTTTGCTTTTGCACATGCCAAACAGAAATCTTCCAGACAATTCAAAAAGTGTCATGTTGTTCTCCTCTGTGAGGTTCAACTCCAAATCTAAAGCCATTGCCTGGGCTATCTAACATGTGACACACAATCGGGGACTCTATCTTGAAAGTACATCTGAATCATTTCCAGGAAAGCAGCCGTCTCTCCTTGATTCCAGTCAAAGTGTGTTGCCATCCCTCCTCTATCACTGTCTGTATTTACCTGTGGGCAGGTAGGCTGAACAAACAGCCACATAGCTGTGGTGGGGCAGGGTCTGGCTCAGCGCGGCTCCTCTCAGAGCACCCCTTGTTAGCTCGTCCAGGGGTTAGGCCTCTCCACTGCAGGTTCTTGTTCAGCAGAGTGACAGAATTGACATTGGGGAGAACACAGAGGCTCGTGTAGGAAAATGTTTATTAATGGCCTCTTCTGGGGAATATCAGTAAGTTGTCCCTTTTCATACAGCCTTCAAAGAGGGGATGTTAAACTTCAAAGTCAGCTCATGGGGTGTTCTACTGCGTATAGCCATGTTTTGACAAGACAGAAAAATGCATGGAATTTAAAAAAACGACATCTTTACGAGTCTTTTTTAAAGTGACACGGTGTTAAAGGAGGGAAATGGGTGGAAGCCCATAATAATCTATGTTGAAACTAGGAGTTAAATCATCTCCAATGACCTGATTTTAATTGAAAAAGTTTAATCTATTGCAATTTAAAAAGATATATTTTTGATGAAAGTGAACTTTAAATGTTTAAATTAAATAAATAAATAATTATTATTTTTACGTCTCTGTAAAATGACTGAAACATTTATTTTCAGGTTTCTAAAGGATTATATCATTTGGTACTATTCGTACCCACAAAATGAGGCTGTTCATTTATTCAAATGTTTTCCGACAACCTCCACAGACAAACAGACAGACAAGCAAGACACCATCTCATTGGCTGAGGGAATAACGATCTCAGAATTGAGTTTCTGTCAACCCTATGATTAAAGGTGACCTATCATGCAAAATGCACATTTATACATGAATATGTGTCCCCGGTGTTCCAGGGAACTCACCAAGTGTCAGAAAACACAACCCTCTCTATTTTCCTCCATACCCAAATCTCTTAAAAAGGGGTTGCAACGGATCTGATACAGACTGATCCAGATTTGAATACTTCTCTGACGTCACAGAAGTGGCGCTACGGCTATTGGGCCAACTCCACCAATCAGGAGGAGACAGCCACGGACATTGCCGTTCGAAAGTGCTGGAGACGCTGTAGTACATAAGCCAGGCCTGTAGATGGTGCTGTTCTCACAGAATCAGCTCATGCAAAGACAGTGTTAAATTGAGCAAAATGAGGAATGGCTAAAATGCATGATCTGTTTGGTATTTTGAAAAATAAAAAGTATAAATATGCCTTATATAGGTATGGTCCTACACTATATTATTCAAATATAGCATGATAGGTCCACTTTAAGCCAAATGATTGACTTACTTTTCCCAGAAAACTTGTCAAGTCATCTCATCTCAAACAGTTAAATGACAGGAAACATTTTAATTAGTTTATCTTGCAAATGTATTTAGTCAGACTGGCCCAGGCATGTCTTCTCTGGAAACATTGCTTTTCTTTCTGCCTGTAGCAATGCTTTGAAAAGTGCAATATCTGTTTCAGATCTGTAATGTGGTCAACGCTGTGTCTGTGTGACTTCCTCTGGCATAGAAGCCTTTTTGCCTTGTTTCTGTTTGCTATGAATGCAGCAATGGATTACAGGGTTTTAATTTCAATGCTACCCTTTGTGTGAGTAAAGCCATCATTTGCAAGATGTGACTTGCCAAAAACCCAATCACACCCTTCATTTTTTTTCTTCCACTGTCTGGATGTCAAATATGTTTTATCTTTCCTGGAAAATACAGAT